TACCCATTTTACATATAAAGTGGATTCGAAAAACATTTTACATTTTAAATACATTTTTTTAAGTATTTTATATTTGGCATTTTAAATGATTACCCAGCCCTGATAATATGTGCATTTTATAGTAAATATGGCTACCGGCTTTACATTTTATTGAATTCTAGGTGTTAGCGGTTATAATATACAGAAGTCTATGGATAAGATCTCATGCTTTTAAGTGCGGTACTAAAATACGGATGGCATGCTCTTCGAAGGAAGGACTTACGATCGTCGCTGTCGGTCTCCGTGTACAAATCCAGCGGAAGTGGCCGAGATTGATCTCTAGGTGACTCGATCAGGTTATAATCAGTGAGAGCTTTAGTAGGGTCTTTCCGCTGACAACATGCGTACATAATGCCGCCGCAGCTGCCGTCCAATAGGCCAGCAGTCATCCAGCACATTAGAAAAAATTCACAGCTCCGTCCGTCCGCGCACAACGTATCGTCGCCTTTCCACAGCGGTCTTTTTTGTTGGCGCATCTCTGCAGAAAATATGGAAACTCTTGTCTTCCACGACTGTCAAGTTACGTAATCGTCCTGAGCGACTGTCGAACTATGCGCGGTCGCAATTCCAGTTCGGTCGAAGAAGAAAACGTCCGAACAAGTTTGCGCGCGGAAAGACGTCATTGCGGTTACTAATCTAATCTCAATCTATATGACTATATTAAGACAACGAGAATGAGAGAGAATTCGAGAGTACGCGACTCCTCTCAATCGGATATCGATTATTAAAATTGAAAACTTATTAATATCGATCAACTAGACAAAGTGTGACTGCTACATATTAAGTTCAAGACACATACAGTGGCCCTAATAGTATGAGAAGTTGAAGCTGTTTATAGAATGCAAATCTTTCCAATCAATTTTTCGACTTAATTATTGACGCTTAATGCAATTATCGAGCAATAATTGAAGGATTTAAATGTAAAGCCGTCGTTTTTATTTCATCGATTACTCCAAGTCGAACTTCGAAAGATAAAACGATCCCAAGTTAAAATCCAGGACTAATAGTATGGGCATACAGAGTAAAAAACTTTTTGTATTTGTGTTAAAACCAGTCCTTGTTAAAATCGTTGTATTAAATTTTTAACATATCCGAGTGTAATTAATGTGGTTGTGTTATTTGAATATTTTGTGTTAAATTGATGTTTAAAAGTTCTTAATCGCCAAAACAACACAATTTATAAGTAAATAAATGATACAAAACAATATATTTTAAAATGTAAATATTAAGATAATAAATGAATAAAATATGATAATTTAACGTATCATAAATGTTAACTTTATTGAAAAAAATATACTGTCACAATTTGAATACAAATTATGTCATTGTTACATTTTTGTGTTAATTTTTTACTGTTTTATATTTTCTAGCATATTTATCTGATAATAAACACAAAAATTCTAAAGGACCGTTTGGGAAACATGAAATGTATTAAATTTAATACAAATTTCCAATTGTGGAGCAAAACAAAAAGAATTAATTAAACTTTCAGCTATTTGATTTTTACTTTATATAATTGAAGATCATATTTATAATTTAATTCTATGATAATTTGTCTGAAATAAAATAGTGTCAAACGACGATTAAACGATTAAATCTTGCTGAAATCTATTAGGATAAAACTGTTCAAGGTAATAAGTGCGATTGATAGAAAAAGTATCGGCATGGTAATATTAACCGTCTCTCTAACAGACTTTCTATAGAGAAACATTTGGGCAATCGTAAAAGGACCTCGTACCAGTTCAGCGTGACGATCTACTGTCCGGCGGCAAAGCGCGACGTCGACGATGTCGTAACGATTTCCGTGTCTTGAATCACGACGGAAGTCGTCGACTGTAATGGAAATAAGTTTCGCGCGCCATTAAGAAGTGGGACATTGCGCGACTAATCGTCCGATTTTTATGAGTTTACGTGAGAGGACGAAGTCATCGGGGCGATCAACTAAGCAGAAATCGCGAATTTGGAAAGAATTGGAAATTCCCTGAAATAACATCGTTACGGCTAACTATCAAACTTTGTAATTCCGCTGACAAGTTGCACGTACCTGTTTCCAATCTAGGGTAATCATCCGGCATCTGTTTCCGGAGATCTGAAATAAAGATGCTATTCTGGAAAAGCTTCATAATAAAACAAAAGAAAAAAAATGTTTCCTGCAAAAAGAATAGGCCGTTCAATTTTGATCTTGAAAAAAATGTATAAAATCTCTAATTCAATAAATAATTCAAACAAATTATTTAAAATTAGAAGAGAAAAGAAAATATGAAAATTAATTGACTCTATTCTCATAGCTGTTTAAGATTACTTAGTTTAATATTGTTTAAGATCAAATACCGTCCAACATTTTTGAATACACGGTTTATATACATGATTCATAATGATAAATTAGTGATTGTCACAGCTTGTTACACCGGCATTACACATCCTAGGTACGCTTACGAGTTAGTTCATTCGATCACGTTGGTTCGTTTATAATTAAAATACTTTGAAAGTTTCATATAATGTATTTTTGTATTTGCACGCTTCTCTAAGCACTCCGTTGATGAAGCACTGTTTGTACAGCAAATTGAATTACCAGAAACGACGGTATTACGCGAGCACACAAAGAAAAGGAAGAAAGTAAAAGGGAAAAGTTATTTATTGTGCATCAAAGAATAACGAGTAACGATAAACGCAGGCCTATATGAAAGATTGCTATATGTCTACTAAGTATTAGAGGTGGCTAACCTATAATTCCTAATACTGCATTTGAAGCATCGAGAACGTGTATTTAACGTACATGAACCTTAATCGTTTAAATTTATTAGAAATTATATGTAATTTATAGTTTATAGTCCAAGAAATTATAATGGAAGTAAAAAAAACGTATCTCTATAATTTTTTCAGTTAAATATTTATTTTAGCCTCTTTGTCAATGCACGGGCTATCCATATCAAATTTTTCAGTAAATTTTTTTATTTTTTTGTGTGAATTCGATTATGACACTTCAAAAATTTCATCCTTTGAACGATAAAAAACAATTTTACACAAATTTTATCTCGTTTTTATTTTTAAATTTTTTACGAGAACCTTGTGAAACACGATAGTGAAAAGGTGAAAAATTATTGACAGAAGAGTTAAAGACTTTCCAACAGAAACGATAAAAGAGATTAATAGTATTAATCTACAAATGGAAAATATAGGCTCTAAGTGGCTGTAATAAAGATTAGATTTAGTATCACTCCAAAAAGTGAAAAGTAAAAAGAAAGCGGATTACCTCTGATATCGTCCTCGAAATCTGGCAACTGATTAGACTGCTGGAAAAAGGAAGCCGCGCCACCTCCGACCGGCGGCAGGAAGTCGTTGTCACGGAATATCAGTCGTGGTGTCCGATGGGACATCACCGGTCCCATCGGTCTGTTGTAATCGGCGGGAGTTCTCCAGAAGGACTTGTGTTGTCTCCACGATCCTGGGAATTGAGTCTGCGGAATGAAACGCGTGACCGGATGCGACCCAAAATTTCTGCCATGTGGCGTTGAACCGGCCTCGAGGAGATAAGCAGACCCTGTTGGAAATCGCACGTATCTTCGCCGGCGGATTGTCACCACCCCGGTATGATTGGTTTCATCTCTTCGCACATCGACAACCGAGGAATCAGATTTCGTAAATTGCTCTACCTCGCTTGTCATCAAACTCGAGGAAAGACTTAGGATGACTGCAGCTAGAAGCCAATGACGCGGCCTCGATGCACCCATCGTTTTACTGAACGATTAGAAATTGGTAGAGATCAAGTGCTCAAAGTTCACTAAGTGACTCCGTTTATCGACAATTGATCTCCGCGAACGGTGTGCGTTCCATTTAGAAATTCGTGCATTCACGTGAATTTATTTCAATTAACCAGTCTGCTCATCGACTTCATTCCGTTTTCCATTTCCACAAAGGATGCAAGCGGTCTCGTCGTCTGGTGGTTGCAACGGGATAAAATATAATAAATTTCTTCACCACGCTGATTTCGCCACCTTTAAAAAATTAAAAGGTTATATACGAGGAGAAATCAGAAAGTAAAGTAAATTTATTTATTCCTCACTTATAAACGTTAGTACGTGCACATTATATCGAAATATAACCGCCCAGTTTTGCAACGAATTTTGTGTAACAGTCCACAAGTCTTTGGATTTCATCTATAAAGAAGATTTTTAGATGCCCTCGAAAACATATATGCACCGTTTTCTAAACTCTAATTTACTATTTATCTTTTTTTCTGGTGAAACTCCTGGTTTCATCAATGTAAGATTAACATTAATCTCGATCAACAAATCTAAGAAAAAGATGAAGAGTAAATTGAACCGAGATTAAAATTAATCTTACATTGATGCAGAGTTGTGCAAAACTGTAATTCAATTACCAATTACAAATTACAATTATAATATAATTCTTAATTCAATTAGTAATTATATTTCGTAATTATATTTCGTAATTATTAATTGCTGAAAACAATTAAATGAAGTAATTGCGAAAAGTAATTGTGAACAGATTATAATTATTTAATTGTTAATTGATTAACTCTGTAATTGTAATTAGAATAAGAACAATTAATGCTTTACAGTAGGTCTCGGTACGATTTGCACTTCTCAGCTGATTTTCGATTCGACTCCGCCCCCAGGTAGCAACACACGTTATTTTGACGTCATTTTGACGTCAAAGGCCGTCATTTTGACGTCAAAAGACGTTATTTTGATGTCAGCTTGCTACCAGGGCCTTCCGCTACTCTTCTCACCTCATCGTCCCGCGCGCAGTCCAATTGCCGTTTGACGCTTGGAACGTCTCATAGACAATGAGGTCCACCCGCTTTGGGCGCTCACGCTGTAAACTTCATTCTATTTACTTTTTTTATTATAATTGAGGGGATGGGCCTAATTACAAAATTTTGATTTTGATAAAAATTAAAATAACTTGATACTTTTTTATTATACTATAACAAATAGGAACAGTTAAACGTTATATATATTTATATAATGTCTTTGAGAAGTTATATGTTATAATATTTCTCTATTATGATCAATATTTAAAAAGTTATTTGCAATTTAAAAAATGCACTCAGTCCCTTTTTCCGAATATTGATCATAACATTGGCAGTTTTCCATCAAGGTTTATAGGTGACACACATCGTCACAGTGGTCGAACATGATGCTTTCCAACAACGACACGCCACGGCACGATTGGATACAATAGAAGTAAGTGCTTTCCATCAAGGCTTTAAACGATACACAAATCGACACGGTGTCCGACATGATGCTTTCCAGCAACGACTCGCTATGGTTTTTGGTTTTTGCTAAAAAAGTCTTTTCACCAACTTATAAAGGGATCTTTTCCCGGTGTCACTTGGATCATTTTAGTTAAATTACGCAATCAATTACATTTAAATTGATTAACGAGTTAAATCGATTAACAAATCTATGCTCAACTTGTAATTTTACCTAATATAACTGTGTGAAACCAATTGTATCTTTAACATCTTTTTCCGTAAACCTTAATGATAATAAATAATTAGGATTGACAAACGTTACTTTTCAGTTACTTTGTTGTTACTTTTTATAGAAAAAAATTTGATGACGTTGTTGCAATTTTTTATGATTGTAACGCTAACTAACTAAATGCTAAAGTTATGCTTAAGTTAGAAGAGTCACTTTGAAAAGTAACTTGTCACCATTACGCGTTACTGAAAAAAGTAATAAGTAACGAGTAACGCGTAACAAGTAATGAGTAAAAGTAACGAGTAAAAAGTAACGCGTTACAAATTAAGAGTTATTTTTTTCATTAACGAATGATTTTTTCAACCTGTTACAAATAACGTTTGACTTTTCTAACTCTGATGTTACCATTACCATCATAAAAAGTTCACAATGTCATTATCAAATCGTTATTATAACAAAGTGATGTTATTATAACAAGGTAAAAGTAGCAGTTGTATTAAAATTTAGGGAGTGGTGCATATGTGTTTGAGGGCAGCCAGGAACTTTCTTCATAGATGGTGGATATCATGATAGATAAAGCCCATTGAATAAAACATCAGATTAAACATAACCATAAGTTAACCAGATAATGAAAAATTGGACCTATGAAGACTTGTGAACTGTTACACAAAAGCAAGGAAGCAAAGAGCACATTGTACATTATTAGGTTGGGCGATTATATTGAGAAATAATGTATACATTATTTTGCTAACGTGTTTTGTACGTACAATATAAATAAGTTCACTTTACTTTCTAATTTCCCCTCGTATAATACACAGTATAAATTGTTAAAATTTATTATATATAATTGTTAAAAACAGTAAAAATTTACAAAACGATTATTGTAACAAGATGTATATTACAAACAGTTCTGTAACACAAGCTATATTTTACTTTTCTAAATGTGTATCAGATAAGAGACGATTAGTCTAAGAGGTCTTTCTATGTGCAATAATACTTGGATCCTAAACAATCTGACACTACTCAATTCAGGCTGATTTTCTCCTCGAGTTTCACGAGTCGTTAATCACTATCGGGCGCCATATTAGAACGCCTGATTCCTAGAGAAAGGAAATGCGCATCATAGTCGGACTCGCAGTCAAGTAGAATCGAAGATTCTGGTCCGACGTTAAGGAACGCCACGCTATTCGTATCACTGTAATTATTGGTAGCAGTTTCGCGATAAATCCAAGAACTTTCTTTTGGCCATCCATAATTATTGCTCCTGTTTATAAAATGATAAAAGTAATGTAGAGGTAGAAAACATGATACATATTCTACATGCCAATTTAGTATTTGCAGTCAACAAGTTTATTATTATTATTGTTGTATTTTTAGAAGGTAAGGATTTTTAAAGGCTTTACTGATACTTTTTTTATTAAACATATAATCTACAATTGCTCGTAACGGGAAGTTTCTTCAATATTTGACAATTATTTCTTTTAAATTTAAATTCTATTATCCGTGATTTAAGGGTTGACATAAATACATAGGGAACTCTTGCATGCGGCAATGCTTAAAGGCAAATGAAACAAACTCGAAAATAACTTCCACGTGGCCCATGAATTCCTCTTGACTGGTTGGGACGAAATCCAGTTTGCGTCACGATCTTCCGTAACGAGTGAAAGTAAAGAAGTTCATCCGGAACCAAAGATCATGCCATTTATACACGAGAAAGATTTACCGAACGTGCTTTAAATCCATCAGCATTTCTGTTGAATGAAATTATCACCCATGAACGGCATTAGCGAGAGAAAACGACGCGCTAGTAACACTTTAATATAAGTCTTCCTCATAATTAACGTCTCTAAAATCTGAAACCTGAAATCTCCACATTTCCAATCGCTTATGTAATTATAATATTAGTTCGCTAACTTTTTAAAAAATAATTCTGCATTAATTAAATAATCAATAAATTTTTATCATAAGCACAAAAATATCTACGTGTAATGAATAGATTTTTCCCAGACACTGATTTTGATCGTTGCCATGAATTGGCCATAGACAAATAGGGGTCAGTTTTCGAAGCGTTAGAAATGCTAAAAAAAAAACAAGAATGGAAGGATATAATTGTTCATTAAATAATCTTAGTGGACGGCCTTGTCGGGCCATCGTCAATCGTGAGTGAAGATGAACGTTAGTAGATTCGATGTGTTAGTAGGTCATTGGCTCTACGTCGCGTGGATCCACCAGAAGTGAAAGTATACTTCTTGCGTGCACGACAATGTGAAGTTCACGTTCACGCAGTACCACCAGCCGCCCTGGCGGCGGAAGTTACGAATCGCTCATATGGTTCTCCAAAGAATCCGAAACCTCCCGCCTGCTATTTTCCCTGTAATTACCTTTGTCATCATGAAATACCACCACGCGACGAATGCACGTGAAACCATGTTGAGCACGGTGATTTTCACCGTGAAAGTGTTCGATTACTATAACGCGATGCCTTTTGCCCCGATCTTTAGAATTCCCAACTGCGATTCTCGATATTGTGGTTTCTCTTTCCTTTGAATTATAGATAACAAAACTACAGATAACTGTGTTTTTCTTTTTAGATTTGCAGCTCCGTTAAGCGTACTTCAATAGACGTAAAAGACTGATATACGTATTAAATTGTGTGAAATCAAGTTAGAACTTATCACCAGGGTTGGGTAAGTTAACTTTTTTTTTTTAATTAAATTAAATTAAAGTTAACAGCCTCGAAAATTTAACTTAATTAAAATACAAGTTAATCCATAATGAAATTAATTGAATTAAAAGTTAAGTTAATAAAAAAAATAATTGAACAATTAAAAGTTAAATTTGGTCTGAACCAACAACTAAAAAAAAGAGAAAAAGTTTGACCATTTTACATAATTTTTCATATTTTTCCTTTCTTACAGCATATTTATTAAAGAATCTAGTTATTTTTGTTCACAAGTAACGATTATACAATATAAAATTACTAAATTATATACTCATTATTCTCTTGCATTGTGTTTAAGTTAATCTGAGGATTAACTTAAAAAAAAAATCAAATTAAAAGTTAATAATTACCGATAAAATGTAACTAAATTAAGTTAAAAAGTTAAGAGTCTACAATGTAACTAAGTTAAGTTAAAATTAATTAACTTTTTAACTTTTTAACTTAACTTTTATCTTTTTAATTTAGCACTACCCAACCATGCTTATCACACTTATCAACATTAAAATGTTAATCACGCAATTCTACATACATTGATCTTTTAGATCTGTTCTTTTGAGCTGAATTTCTTGCACAGTTTATCTTTTCTATCTTTCTATCTACGTTGGAGAGAAAGGAGAAAAATAAACGGTAAAGGAGTTCAACTGGGGAAAAAAAAAACCCAGACCAATTATATACGATACTTCTTTATTAATAATAAATGCTAATTATTTTGATAATAACTTTATATTTGTTTTCTTTTTTCGTTTGTTTTTATTCCTTTAATAGTAAGTTCGGGATTAAATGTAAACCTACAGTTTCGTTAATAAAGGCATTTTTTTGTTTT